TGTACTGATGAAGAGTACCGGATGGTACTTGAAACGTTTACACATTAAACTTTCAATTATCCAGTTAGAAAAGACTTAACGGCTTTATCAATTTATCGTATTCCTGGATGAGTAACCTTCACCAACGTATCTTTCAACAATGTTTTGTCTCCTTCCGCAGAGAGTAAAGTATCGTCCCCCACGGTTAGCGTACTGGCGAGCCCACCACAGTGCTGTAGTGAGTGTGGAGTATGTGGATCATGAGGAGCGCCCGTTTGTTGTGAGTGCGGGGACTGACAAGACAGCACGGCTGTGGACCATGGAGGGACACTATGTGGGAACATTTGGACAGGTCATTCTTTGTTTCATGCTTACATACATGTACATTGTCAAATGTATCACAGCATACAAACTCATACATGTAGGAAACTTCAGTCATGTACACTGTACTATGATTCCTAGGCCTGATAGCTGTCACCATGGTAACAGGTGCTGTAGCAGATACACCTTTGTACCCTATAGTGTTGGATTTCATTATGTAGCAATTGGCAGAACAGACTTGGAGGGGCTGGTCATCCGCGGGCTGGTCACCATATAATTATTATGAATGTGTTTGAGTAAGACAGTTGCAACATCTCTGGCTTATTTGCAACTTAGTTTTTTTTTTTTTAATACTATTTGCAACTTAGTTACTTGTTGACTACTTTTCTCTTATTGACGTACAATGTAGATATTTTACTATCACAAGATAAACGCAAAGTCACACAATGGGATCAACATCATCTTGCATGCAATAGGATACATGAAAATACACATTCATTCAAAATATCAACACGAGATGAATGGGTTAAAAAACCTAGGTTAGCCACAATGTTCCATACAAAATAACTTGAAGCCAGGGAAAGGAATAGAAACACCAGTATGAATGCAGAATCTATTGCTTAACTGACAATATTTTCTTCAAGTTTATTTTTCCAAGACAGTACCTCAAAAGAGATTTTATGTATTGTACAACTAACATGCATCACCTTTAGCTAAGAAATGTGCTGGTAACAAACATCGCAATCCTTCTTTTTCTTCCAGGAGAAGAAGTGGAACTTGAAGAGACCTTCAACATACGAGTATCCAAAGTGAGTTGGTCACAGCTATGATATGGGAGCTTCTCATTTTTTTAGTACTTTACAGTTCCTGTTGACTTTAATGCATTCAAATTGACTGTTTGGCATCACTGTTGTGGCTTTTTGGTTAACTGTGTGGTGCTTAAGTCATGGCAGTCCTACTGCTGATAACCCACATCAGAACCTTGCTATTTGTCAGCAATCCACAACATAACGGCCTTGTTTTCACATGTACAGACAGGGCAGACATTTTCATACAAACATTTAGTCAGTGAGTTAGTGTTTTTTTTAGATTTTTCTGACTAGCTTATAGCATGCTACTCAGGAGATAATAGATGTGTGTCTTTCATTTCACAATTGACCAAAAGAAAACTGACCAAAATCAACGAAGTGATTCCAACAAATGATGTATGTTTATTAAAATGTATGAGCCTATCCCCAGCTACACTGGACTTATTCATGTGATAACAACGTTACATGTTCTGTTGCCCAAGTCACTTGCATGTAGCATGGCATGTTGTAAAAGGTTAATTTCTTCAGATAATTTTTATGCTGGGGTTAGGCACTCCTTTAAACATGCATGTGCAATCATATTTGCCTATAGACTCGGAACAAAATACAGCTCAGAATCTTAGCGTAAAAGTTTGTCAAAGTTGGTAAATAGTCAAAATTAAACTGTACCATGATGATACCAACATTCGACGAACATTAACCCAGTGCTGACGTCACACATGCAGAAAAGTTGTGTTTGTTGGGTCAAAAATTCCAGTGAGTCAATTTTTTTTTGTATTATTGGTGAATGGTTTCATTTGCACTTCATTCATTGAGTTTGTGACTAACTAAAGATGTACATCCCCACAGCAATCCTTGGCTGACATCTGACACAGAACACACACCTCCTGAAGAGGATACATCAGACCCTGTGGCTCAAGAAGTCAGCGGGGAAAAAAACGACTCAGAGACAACTGTAAGACAACTTTATTACAGTGTGTGTGCGTGCGTGTGTGTGTGTGCGTGTGTGGTGTGTGCGTGTGTGTGTGCGTGTGTGTGTGGTTGTATGTGTGTGTGTGTGTGTGTGTGTGTGTGTGTGTGTGTGTGTGTGTGTGTGTGTGTGTGTGTGTGTGTATGTGTGTGTGTGTTGGGAAGTGTTAATAGAAATGTAGTTTTTTGCTAGAATGGAGAGCAGAGATAAAGCTGGGTGAGATTATGACGAGCTTGGAATAACTTTTCAGTGCTGTATTGAGGGCAATGGCAAATAAAGTGCATTTCATCCTCCACTGCCTTTCCTGTGCAATACATGTATTCCATCATCGTCATCATTATTGCCGCTCACATCTGTCGACAATGCGGGCCACACTGTTTTCTACGTCCACTCTCTTCTGTCCAGTGTTCCTGTCTTCTGTCCTTCTTCAATTCCCAAGTGAGACTCATCTCCTCCTGGCCTCTCATAACTCTTTAGTACCCAGGTCATTGTACAATATTTAATACATATTTAATTTGTTATCTCAAATTGTACATATTGATATCTCAAATACATCATACGTATAGAATACAACACGGGGTATTCCGCATCGCCAGAGGTATCGGCCCGACCGCGGGTCGGATCGCCCTCCGGCCGCGGCCCGGGTATGATATAAATATTATTATCTCAAATTGTGCCCTCTATAGCAATGAACGAAACGAAGTCTTTGACGTAGCCTCCAAATTCTACCCAAACCTTCACACATATAAAAATGAAAAGAAAACCACTCTCCTCTTAACATCTGAAAACCCACAAATTACTGAAAAAGTGGGATTCTTCATCTTCCTCTGTCTTAAAAAAAGAAGTTTTTACTAGTAGTTTCTTAGTAGTTATCAGTAGTTCTATGTGTGCTAATTGTCTGTTTTTTATACCATATGTTTCTTCTTTTCCTGCAATTAGCCCTCGGGTATGAATAAAGGGTTAATGCACTGCCCCGAGTTGTATATGGTGTCATAACTGCATGAGCAGCTGCCATAACCACCGAATAAACCACCGTGTGAGCGAAGCGAACGAGGTGGTTTATGAGGTGGTTATGGCAGCTGCCCATGCAGTTATGACACCATATACAACGAGGAAAAGGCAGTGCATTAAAATTATTATCATATAGCCTATCCAAACTGTCAATCAACACAATTCCTGTTTGAAATACAACAGCTTTAATATATATACATACATAAAATACATTCGAATATATTATACGCTTTAAAACAAATATGGATAATTTCATTTAATGCAAATTGTAGTTTAAATGAAGCTAAACAAAAAAAGTTTATTGGACAGAAAAAAGGCTACAAAGGTTTACAGAAAGAGTCGCATGCCCCTATACCCTATAACATAATGGTATCAGCCATAACACGACATGTGCTGTTATTCCGCCATAACACCACATGTGCTGTTATCGGGAAATAACAGCACGGGTATCCGGGCCTCTGATTGGTCCACGCCGTCCGGCTATATGATAATTTGCAATAAAACATTATTCTATCATTAACAGGTAAGAGCAGCAGTAGAAGATACAGAAGCTGGTAAAGATGAGAGTGGTCATGGAGACAGAGTTGATGTTTGGTTATACCGGCTATACAGATACAGATATTATTATTATAATAATAATACTATTGTTAACAGGTAAGACCATCAGAAGAAGCTACAGAAGCTGGTAAGGATGAGAGTGGAGTGGTGGAGACAGAGCTGATGTTTGGTTATACCGGCTATACAGATACAGATATTATTATTATAATAATAATACTATTGTTAACAGGTAAGACCATCAGAAGAAGCTACAGAAGCTGGTAAGGATGAGAGTGGAGTGGAGGAGACAGAGCTGATGTTTGTTGATGATGTTATTGATTATTATTCTATTGTTAACAGGTAAGACCATCAGTAGAAGCTACAGAAGCTGGTAAGGATGAGAGTGGAGTGGAGGAGACAGAGTTGATGTTTGTTGATGATGTTATTATTATTATTATTCTATTGTTAACAGGTAAGACCATCAGTAGAAGCTACAGAAGCTGGTAAGGATGAGAGTGGAGTGGAGGAGACAGAGCTGATGTTTGTTGATGATGAGGAGAGAGAGGCAGAGGAGGAGGAGGAGGGGGATGACGTGGCACAGCTGCCAGTCCTGCCTGTGTCCAGAGGACTTCCTGCTACTGCACAGCCTGTCAAAAGGTTATCTATACAAGTTCTTACAATGTCTTTAAGTTCATCATTGTTCAACTTGGTAGAAGTCATGAAGGAAGTTTAAACTGTAATATCAAACAAGAAATTGGACTTACCTAAATTTTCAACTGTACAACCCCAGTTTTTGTCAAGGAATGAGCAATCCACCGCTTCTGTGACGTCATGTTACTATTCAGATCACACACATGACTTGATGAGCAGTGGATCATATGTTGCAGAAAGTCTATGGCGCCCCCCGTCTTTGTTGAGGGATGGTTGTACATGTACGTGTGTCATCTGCATACACATGACGTCACAGAAGTGGTGGATTGTTCATTCTTTGACAAAGATTGTAGTTAAAAATCCAGTTTCTGTCAGAAATTGCAGTTTAAACTTGCTTCATAATGAGTTCTTACATCACTCTTATTACCTTCGCCAAGAAGGTTATGTTTTCAGGGGCGTTCGTGTATGTGTGTGTGTGTGTGTGTGTGTGTGTGTGTGTGTGTCTGTCTGTAAACACGATAACTTGAGAAGGCCTTTATGGATTGTCTTGATACTTGGTAGGTGGGTAGGTCTTGATGAGACCTCAAAATGATTAGATTTTGGACCCCCTAGCGGCTTGTTATGGTACTGCAGCTGAACTTCCGGTTTTGATATCTCATGATCTAGACATGCTATGGTGATGAAATTTAGATGGTAGGTAGCTCTTGTGCTGGGAAAGAAGTGACGTGAGTTTAGGCCCCCTAGCGGCTTGCTCTGGAACTGCAGGAATAAATTCTTGAAAATATTCAAAAGGGGATAACTCAAGAACCGGTTGACGAATCGTCATGATTTTTGGTATGTAGGTAGCTTACGTGATGCTTAATATAATTATGTGACAATTATGCAAATATGGATGTAATTTGCATAATTTATGGGGAAATTCTATAAATCAGCTGCATTCCATGATAGGACAATTGAAGCTTGTGACATTGGTAATTGACAACGAGAGAAACACAGGAAGATGTTGATTATGTTAATAATGACTTAATTTGCATAATTAAATGAGAAAATTTTATAATTATGCAATGATAACTGCCTGGAATTTCATACTTGTGGTATTTGAAATTTAAATTGAGATGAACATCATTGAACATAATTTATTCAAATCAGGACCTCATTTGCATAATTTATTAGGAAATGCTAGAATGCATTCTTTGTTAATATAAGACTGTCTTTTGGCTGAGATTATGATAAAATGATATAATTAATGAAAATTAGGTTCCTATTTCTTAAATCAGGATGGAATAATCTAATCTAAACTTTGTCAGTCATAAAGTTTAACATCATTTGGCGAAGGTATGAGATCGGGGAACTCTAGTTTGATACTAATGTTGTCCCAACACTGCATGTTTTTAGAGATAGTAAACATAATCTCAACAATGACACATACCCAACCACCAAAGCCTAATGTGCTGTTTGATGTGTTATATTTCCTCAGATTACTGACCAGTCAGAGTGATGACGTTGCAGTGAGAGGTCTGCGTGGCCGAGCTCACACCTTCAGCACCTTAAAGTACATGACCAGATCCCAGTCCTTTACTATGCCAAAGGTGTGTACTCTTGCATGTATAATTGTGTTTGGTACTGTGTTCTAGCCATGTCTGTCTTTCTGTCATTTGATGGAATTCATCCGCTAATGATAGTTTTGCCCAATTCATCATCTTTGATAAAAAAAAATCCGTGTATAAAGGTAACATCCGTGTCCATAATATCACCAGGGTCCATATTATCGCCACCTTGAGAAAAAGTGTGCTTAAAGATATTTTTACTGCAACATACCCTTAAGGTACATGTATGTACATTTGAGGTGTGCAGGAGTGCATACCAAAAGTATGTTGCAGTAAAAATAGCTTAAAGCACACTTTTTCTCAAGGTGGCGATATTATGGACCCTGGCGATATTATGGACACGGATGTTATAGAAAGAGATGTCATTTAACTAAGATTAGTCTACAGCCAAATTTGCCCCTCAAAATGCAACAAATAGCATTCAAGAGGGCCAAGATTTCAAAATTTTCCCATAGTAGAATGCCCCAACATCCCCCTTGCATGGATTGTCACACCTCACGATGTTACGTCTAACAAAATGGAGTTGACTGAAAAAAATTCAGGCTGGCTAGAACACTGGTTTGGTAAACTCCTCTTGCTGCAAAAAGGTTGTTGTCACAAATGATGCAATGCTCGTTACCACCTACAATAGGATGTCTTTGTTAGTTGGTGCATAGAGTGTCCTAAAAAAACTGCAACTGGATTTTGACAAATGCTGGTCCAGTTACGTATTCCATGGAGAAGGCCTTTTGGTCCTTCTAACAACTTTTTTTGGAACTGCAGTTATCGTTAATTTTCTTTAGACTTAAGAAGATAGTCAACTAACTAGCATGGCTGCTTCTTTGCAGGAAAAGGAGCCCAAAGTGGCGTCCAAAAGTCACAATCAAAATTGGCCCCTGCAAAAAAGGCTAGGAGGTCCAAACTTAAGTCATGACCCAAGCATGTTCAAAAGATGTGATACCAAAAAGGGAAGTTCTTCTGCTGCAGTACCAAGGAAAGATGACAGGGGATGCCAACTCTACCCATTTATTCCATAGCTTCTTGACAAGTTATCATGCTGAACCGCATCCAGACATACATACAAATGCTACCAAAAACCAGGCAAAGGTAACAAAATACACCTTAAATTTTACATTATACTGCCCTCATTCTTTTTGACCCTGTGCCATGTGGTCAAGATACAATGTATGTACAATGTGGTCAAGATACAATGTATGTACAATGTGGTCAAGATACAATGTATGACAATAACATGGTCGTCTTCCCACTCAGACATTGTTAGGTCATCGTGTGGAGGAGAATCTGCATCGAAAGATCTTCACCCGTCAGGAGAGAAGGAGTCATTATGGAGACATCAATGTGAAGGCTACAGCACCACTGGGTACCCAGTGTTCACCTTTCCAGGCTCTGTCCATGCCGGTAAGGACATCTACATCTATATTACTGGACACAGCCCCTCACAGGGTATTGCGTCTAGAGAAATGACATGACAGTGGAATCAATTTCTTCTCTATTGAAGGCATCCTATGCGATTTCAGGGCGGCAAATAAAAGAAAATAATATTTTGGATGTGGAAATCTGTCCAATATTGACATTTGCTGCCATTTCTTAGTACATTTTCACCATCATACTTGAAGTGTTTGAATTAGTCCCAAAACAATGTGAAGCATTTGTTTATTTTTGGGTACCACCCATAATAGCTAGAACCAGTCGGGATGATACAAAGTAAGCAAGCATTTTCTATCTACCAGCGATGCTGCATTTTTGCCTCACAGATATCAGTGTGCTCTAATGGGATAGGGTTGATTCAACTGACTACATTAAAAGAATGATCAAAAAACTGACTTTCAAATTACAGTCTTCCCACACAGAAATTGTATTAGATGCCTTTAAATCAGTTTAAATTTTTAGAGGAAATCTGCTGTGGACACTGATGAGTGTCAGAGTTGGCCAAAATAGTCAGGTCTGCAGAGACCTAAGAGACAGTGTGTTTCTTTGTATTATTTTGCAGTTTTATCATACAGAATTCCAATATCCCCACAGTTTGATAAATGTAACACTCAAATGTACATTATATCATGAAGTATGATAAACTGCTTTTGTTTTATCAATATGTGATTTTGCTGATGCCTGACAAGTTTCCCCCTGTCTGCACCACCAGGAACTGCAGCAGGTGTACCTCCCCTCCAGCCTTCCCATGAGCCCCCGCATGGTGAGTCGGGGCATGGCTGCCACCACCGAGTCAGAGCTGGGCGACCTTCCGCTCGCCGCGACTCCTGTTCCAGACGACAACGATCACGAGTCCGCCGACAGATCCTCCGTGTCCCAGGGGAGTAAAAAGTGGACTGCCGGGAGGAAGGTGTCAGCTTTCAACAAACTTAACAAGTTGCCTGCTATTAAGAGTGTGAAATGAAATAAACCAAAAACTGATTGAATGGGTTGAAAATCCATAGTCACATTATTACAAGTAGGTTTGCCTTTTACATGATGTCCCAGAACCCAGAGGTCCTCTGTTTGAATCCTTTCATGTCATCAATCTTGTTTCCTTGTGAAAGGCACTTTACATGACTTTCCTCACTCCATCCAGGTGTAAAAAGGCAGTGGAATAAGAGGATGGGCTCCTCCTTCCAATACAATTCCCTAAATACAGCGGATAACAACTCACTGCCCCTGCAGTCTCAAAAAGGCTATGGGAATACCTTAACCCCTTTTTTACCTTTCTACATGTATCTGTACCATCCAGCTATCCTTTAGCATAATTTAATGAGTTGCAATGGCCACATGTACAAATGTAGATGGTAATAATTGTAGATTTACATTCTGTGATGATAGCCTGACTGTATATATGTTGGACAAGTATCATTGCTTCTCACATGTATCATTCTTAGGAACTCTGAGACTGTTGAATGTAATTATCTTGTACAGTAATTTGATTGGACTAGAAATGTTGTCAGCTGGTCTGGATTTCTCTGACTAATGTGTCACAGCAAAGGTACAATTTTTTGGCAATGCCTCAGGGGTGTAGGCATTTATTGTATATTTAGCTGTGGCGTTTAAGTGTGACTTACTGGCTTTCAAAGTTGCAAATGATTTATGCACTGTACCTTGTATAGTTTCAGAATACTTTGTATTTTATATATCTTTGTATTTGCAATATTAATATTCATGACACAAAGTGCCAAGGATGTTATACAGTAAGCTAAAATCTTGAAAATATTGTATGATATTAAATCCTGAAAAGATTGTATGATATTATGAGCATATATTTTCACATGCAAATTGCAGCTCTTTGGAATTTGGTCACACTTTTGATGAAACCAATAAAGCTATTAATAGCTGATTCAGAATGATGTCAGAATAATTTTTATTCGTTTATTTATTTGCACAACAACAAAGCACACATACATAACACAGTAACCAATAGATAAAACAGGTGCAGTAGGAGAGAAAAAGCATATACAGCTTATAATATGCCCTCCTCTATACTAATCAAACTTGATCAAAATTGAAATAAAGTAAAACCTAGAGTCACATAATGGTATACGTATAACCAATTATTAATGGACCATAAATTGAGATAAGAACTGGACATAAGAATCTACTACATGAGGCTGGGCAATTCTGAATCCTTGTTCAACTGATGACAAATTTGATGTGTTATTTAAGTGTTCAATGTGTTTACATCTGCATCATCTACATCTGGTGATCAGCTTTGTTTCCATACAATATTTTTAGTTAGCATCGTCAAAAATGTCAGAATTTCTTATTGATTCAGTTTCTGGACTTACTCCCATGGTCTTTTAATTGCGTGGTTTATCATATTTGCGTGTTGCCCACATTGATGTCAATGACAAAATGTTTGTGATCGTCTTTTTTATTCTCAAGTAACGTAGTGTAAAAAAAGTCCAAATTAAACTTTCAACTAAAGAAGACACGAAACGTGACTATGTATAGTATGGATGAAAACATAAGTGGCAGAAAGATTGATATAGTAAATGAAGTTCCCTGTATAAAATATTACTTTAAATTACATTTATTAGACGCGTATATCGTAATTTAAGCGTATGAAATATTCCTGTATACGCACAACACACATCACAATTTCTATGCCAAAAACATGCACGAATAAATTATGCAAAATAAGCATGAGCGCAAGCGCAGAAACAAATCTAGATGAAATTGATATTAAATGGGCCACGTCACCAGTAGTACAGTACGTGAGGTACAATGTACTAGGTTTGATTATTCTTTGCTAATTGTCCTAATGCATGTCTTCTATATACATATTCATTTTCTTTATTTCTGATAATTTTTATAATAGTTATGTTATCTGATTGTATTATAATTTCATAAGATAGCAATTGCAAGTTCGTCGGTTTTTCCCATTTTCTTGTGTATCGATAGTGATATAATGTAGTAGAATTAGCAGTAACTCACCAAGTAATTATTGGAAAACCCTACATAGATCTGTTTGGTTTCTGGTTTCTCCGACACGTTCTTATTATTTACTACAATTTCTCTTGCTTTATGTGCAAAAAGTAAACAATGATAAGTTAAGCCGTGTATTGGACATTAGCAATGGAGGTTTAAGCAGCTCATCTTGCTGCACACTTTACGGCAGTGGGTAAATGCATGAGCACTGTCTGAAAAGACTCGGACTTCGCACAGGCTCAGGGTTCGCGAGGGTCCGGGGAGACGGACGCCCACATACCGCCCCCTCATCCCCTGACAGGAGACGGTAATGGACGGCCGGTCCGTGCCGATGTGATGGTCACCGCCACACCTGGGATTCTCGTTGACCTGGTCGGAATCCCCGATGTGGATGTTGAAGGGGTTGAGTCGCTCCTGACAACAGTCCTGGCGGTTGAAGATCACAACTCTGTAGATGTTGAAGACATAGGGTTTTATCAATGCTCGGATAGGACGAGGATCCCCAATGTCTGATCGTGGGACCTTGAATAAAATTTCCTCAACATCGTATTTAACTTGAAACTTTGAAAGATGCGGTTGTGGTATCTGAATTTGCTATGTAAATGTAATAATTTATTATATATCACCCTGAATAATATTATAGCTGCATGATGTACAACATGTAACATTAGGACGTACATGTACGTAACGCCTAAAACGCCGAAATATTCTGGATGAGGGAATATGTTAGACCATGGCATACTTTACGTCGATGAAGGTTAGACATCCAGGTAATACGATATGCCAAAAAACAGTTACTCAAGCAACTGGATATGATTTTGAAAACGTCAGACGTTTCAGCTAGTATCCACTAGCTTTCGTCAGTGACTGAGAGACCAGAGGGGAAAGCAGGCTTATATACACAACCTGTTGATTGATATGCAAATAAAGTGAAGACAAATTTTTGGAAGTCGAAAAAGGAACAAAAGTCAGACAAGTCAAGACAAGATGATGCAAATTAGTCTGAAAGCTCCTGTTATACAGGACAGGAGCTTAAGTGTTGTCTGTCCTCGGGGCTGGGAGTGCCAAATCCCAAGTGCCGGAAAGATCGACCCGTAGCCCCCCTTCCCTGTTGAGGGTGGGGTTGTACATTCTTTCATATATTGCCTCTTTAACACCCCGTTCCCACCAGCGTGTTTCGCGGTCTAAGACATCCGTGGACTCGAGTTTGAAAGAGTGACCCTGGTTGTGTTGTAGGTGGTGGAAAATAGCTGAGGAGTAGCCGTTGGCACTAGGTCGGCAATGTTCTTTGTACCTTACTTTAAGCGGTCGACTTGTCTCTCCGATGTAGGTGTTGTTACAATTGGGCTCCTCACATTTGAGTCTGTAGATAACATTCGCCTTGGTACCCTTGTGAGGTCGGTCCTTAGGGTGTACCAGTCTTTGTCTGAGGGTTGAGTGAGGTTTGAAGTTAGTGGCTATGTTGAAGTTTTGGAAGATCCGTCGGAGTTTCTCAGATACTCCTTGGACATACGGAATAGTGATGTTGGCCTTGTTTTTGTTGGTCAATGGTTTGCACTTCTGGGTTTTCTTAGACTGATCTGAAGGTTTGAGCGCTTTGTTGAAAGTCCAGTTTTGGTAGCCACATTTAGCCAGGGCACCTCGGAGGTGTCTTTGTTCGTCCGTTTTGGCTTGGTCTGAAGTGACAATGTTGTCTGCACGATGGAAGAGAGTTTTGATCACTGCTAGTTTGTGTTCCAAAGGGTGGTGGGAATCAAAAGCCAGGTACTGATCAGTGTGGGTTGGTTTCCTGTACACTTCGAAACGAAGGTTACCATCTTCCTCTACGATAGTTTTGGTGTCTAGGAAAGGGAGCATGGCACTCCCAGCCCCGAGGACAGACAACACTTAAGCTCCTGTCCTGTATAACAGGAGCTTTCAGACTAATTTGCATCATCTTGTCTTGACTTGTCTGACTTTTGTTCCTTTTTCGACTTCCAAAAATTTGTCTTCACTTTATTTGCATATCAATCAACAGGTTGTGTATATAAGCCTGCTTTCCCCTCTGGTCTCTCAGTCACTGACGAAAGCTAGTGGATACTAGCTGAAACGTCTGACGTTTTCAAAATCATATCCAGTTGCTTGAGTAACTGTTTTTTGGCACATGGCATACTTTTACTATAGCCACAAAACAATTGCAAGATACATTCTACGTGAGGCGTCGACGTCTCTTTATACTCTGCGTACCGCCCAAAAATACTAGTAGCTAGACCCGGCCTGAGTTACTAGGCAGGAAACCATTTTCCATCAGCGACATCGCATTTTTCCCTCACAGATATCAGTATGCTTCGAGATAGGATTGATTCAGCTTACTACATTAAAAGATTGACGGGCAAAAAATAAATCCAGTTTTGCTGCCATGAAATTGCATTGGAAAGTTCTTCCTATCAGTGTAGGCTTCAACAAGTTTTCTTTCAGGACCTGATAGATCAGTACACTTACGTCTTAATGTGAAACGACACTCCGAGATCCACCCACCAACTGGGGTTAGCTTCATTCCTGGTGTGTGTACAGGACCGGGAGTCGAAGTCAGCATCGGTTTTTCCATCTACCGCACGGCCGGCAACCGCGCGCATTTCCACCAGCGTGCTTGTTTGGTAGGCATTCTTCCCCCGAGCGACGTTATAACTTGCTGTACGGGAGGGCTCTGGACGGCCTAAAATCAGGAATATCACTGTCACATCAACATGAACCTTTCTGAGTCTTACCGTTCTTTGTCTTGACTTTAATATTTAATATGTCAGCTATACACTACGCAAAAGGGGTCTTACTGTATTTGACCGACACAACACATTATCATAATGAACATAAGAGCCGTTGGTGTGTATTTCTGCGCGTGCTTGTGTGTATATGTTTGCATGCATGCCTGTATTTGCAATGTGTGTATTTGCAATGTGTATGTGTGTGTGTGTGTGTGTGTGTGTGTGCATTTGTGTGTGTGTGAATGTGTGTGTGAACTGTATCTCTGTGCGCGTATATGTCTGTATATGTGGCGGTGAATGTGTGTGTGAGTATGTGTTGTTTCCATACTGGTGCACATGTGAGCACATGTGAGTGTTCTTTCACATATGTTGAATCAGCTACAGACCTTGGCCCCTGATGTTCCTGTAGTTGACACAACCCCGGCAGTCACAGTGGTCAGGCCCGTGGCCGCACCAGTTACTCCTGGAGCAGCACGGCGCTCCTCCGTCAGGGTCACACTGAGCGGGGTGACCGTTTTCTGCAAGCCACAACTTACCGCAACGCCAGTCAGGGCGCCACTTCTTCGTACCAGTAGGAACTATGTCAGATGGACATAAACACGTAGCCTGGTGTCCCAGCCTTGTTAGCTTTGGGCCGCTCCCCAAGATCAAATAATGTTGGCGGGGAGCGGATCTTGGGGAGCGGACCAAAGCTAACAATGCTGGACACCAGGCTAATAAACACGTGCCGATTTTACAAATGAGAAGCAACATTTTGAAAACGTACTTTTCACGTGAAGTAGAAAGTTCAAACTTGCAAAGCAAATACATGGTGTTTTCATTCACATGGTCTAACCTAACAAACGGGTATTATGAGTGTTCTGTTTATTCTTTCTCAAACACATTCATTTACATGTACGATATAGTGACCAGCCCCTCCACTTCTGTCCTGCTACATAATGGAACCGAACACCACAGGGTGTCTGCTACAGCACCAGTTACCATGGTGACAGATGTCTGGTCCAGGTCATTGACTTAATGTGTTTGGAGAAGAAGAAAAATAAACAATATTACCTCGGGGATACCTTGGAGAAACTTCGGTGAAATGGGGAATAGCCTGTGGTGTTGTCCACCTCTTGCTGTTTGAGGTTTCTTCTAATTAATAATAAGTACAGCTGTCATCGTTGTTACACCATGGCGGTGTAAGGTTATAATCATACACGGCTCACGACAGGGCTGATATCTATCTATGTTTAGAAGAGAAAACATGAAGTGAAAAGAAGAATACATTTCATCACTATTGGGGTTCCACAATTATCTACAGTCCTTCTTGACTTTGCTAGGTTTAATTTATCTGTTGGAGTGCGAAGAAAAGGTTTAGTGATCCTTAGTAAGCCGTGTCTGAACATAACGCATCTGTGCGTAAGCTCCTGTCACACAAATCCGAATATAGCCTCCTGAATACTGCCGAACACCAGCAAGGTTGGCTGGTGTTCGGCCAGGTCGGCTACTGTTCGGCTGTGCCACTCTAATGTTTCAATTTTTTCAATAAGGCAGTCAAATTTGACTCAAGTTCAACTCAAATTCGATTCGATTCGTATAGGAAGGTGTGGCCTAAATCTGAACAGACTGAACCCGAACTTCAGTCCCTTGGTCGGCTTCTGTTCGGGGGAAGATTCTGAATCTTATCGTACGTGTTTAATTCCATACGTCACATACAGCCAGGTAACGTAACATAATGGCCCCTACAACGAATACTAATGATTTTGTCTTGTGGCGTAGCGGCAGAGTGCTCGACTCGGAATCAAGAGGTCCCGGGTTCGAGTCCTGACATGCCACCGATCTCACTTTTCTCACTTCGCTCAGGTGAGAATGAGTTTTGTATTTTGTCCCCTGTGTTGGTGGCGGCATTAATATAAGTTTAAAAAACTTGAATGTGCCGTCACCACGTCTTGTGATTAGATGTTGGAATATATATTTGAAAAAAAAAAAGATTTTGTCATAGAGTAATGTCAGTTGTTCTATATGCTATATGGTATAGAGAGCTGGAGGGTAACAAAGACGCGTTTGATCAGCTGTCTACGTAAGATCTGTCGCATCTTCTGGGCAGATAAGATTTCAAATGAGGAAACCTATAACAGAACCGGTTTTAGAAGACGATCAACAGAAATCACTTTCAAGTGAAGACTGAAAGGCTTGAATATGTATAATGTGAAGACTGAATATGTATAATGAATGGACGACACAAGAATACCCAAAACCGCCTTAAACTGGAGACCTGTTTGTTGGGAAGAAAAAACTTTAAAAGGAGGTACCTAAAACCTACTCTCCAAGCAGAGGTGGTGGGGGAATGATCGTTAAATTTTATATATGGCCGTTTTTTGTCGCTACAGCAACCTCCCGTCGGTGACCGGCAACCTTCTCTGGCTAATGGATACTGTCTTGCCAACGAAATGGATCTGCTTGGAGATTACCCAAAACCCATTGGAGAAGACCTGTGTCGGATGATGTCGAAGCGCTGGGGCTCGCCCAGGACAAAGATGGAGGGAGCTGGTTCGCCTGGTAGGCTCGACGCACACTGTGCAAGAGGACTGAGTGAGTGAGTGAGTGAGTGAGTGAGTGACTGTGTCGGATGACCTGCCGTCCATGGGATTATTCTGGCTATCAGTGAAAAGGAGCCATGATGGACGGACCGAGATGGAAAGAAAAAGTCATGGCCTCATGTCTCAAAGGGGATCAAGAGGATAAGTATGCCAAGAGAATGTAGTCAAGACCTACCCGCAAAGACTTGGACTTCACACAGAGTCAACACTCGGGAGGGTCCGGGGAGACGGACGCCCACATACCGCCCCTTCATCCCCTGACAGGAGATGGTAATGGACGGCTCCTGGGCGCTGATGTGATGATCACCTCCACACTTGGGGTTCTCGCTGACCTGGTCGGAATCCCCGATGTGGATGTTGAAGGGGTTGAGTCGCTTCATACAACAGTCCTGGCGGTTGAAGATGACCACTCTGTAGATATTGAAGACGTCACAATGACAATTGAGCTTGTGTTCGAATGGACACCCTTTTAATAGGCTGTGCCACTGGGCAGCTAGAGCAACCAAAATGGATTTGTGTGATCCTTGCATTATTTTGTTCGAATATGATACAAGATATAACGTTAAAAGTTAAGATTTTAAGGACATCAAAAACATATCTATGACATTCGTTGAGCGATCTATTAAATCTTAGTTGCTCAGCGAGTATGTTAGAGATATTACCCCCCACTCAAGTACTTAACTATTTGATCTGAAGAACCTGTAACACTTGGGATCTTAAAGCTGTAAAGTTAAAGTATCTTGAGCCTTATGCTATTTAGCGTTGTTTTATAGTAATCTACGATTCTACCAGAATGTAATCTCTACCCATACATATAAATATACACATATAGGATATTGGGGTGTTATTATATTTTACATTACGGGTGATGCCTCTCACCTGCTTACATTTCCATGTCTGTCACCCGCTTGCGTTTCGATGTCTATCATTTCTGATAGACATCGGAACGTAAGCAGGTAAAAAAGACCTTACCGGTTGTGTGAAAAAAATGAAAACCTCAAAATTCTACGTTTACCAACCAGATGAAATTATTTTCGGAACTAGAGGTCGGAGATCTCATGTCTTCGTCAGAGGGACATTGTTCTAAGATAAACGATCATTTTTAATACTAGAAATACATTTGGTCTAGAGTACAAAGGAATCTCGGTACTCCTTTTTTTCCTTTTTTTTTAATTCTACAGAACACCCCGAAAGGGTTTGCCACAGATTTACAGATGCACTGTCACCATTTTATGCCCCTCCCCCCTAAGTTATTTGATTTTGGACTGTTACTGGAAAAAATGTTACCAAAAATTCTGCTTCTGTATTATGATCAGAGTGTCACGACAGTGTTGCAAAATGTGATGAAAGGAAAGGATCAGAACAGGGGGAGATTTATTGTTGTTTTCGTTTGTTGTTACACTATGTTCTTTTATTCAATTTGTGTCCTAACCTTTTCCACAGTTAGTAATATGCTCCAAATCTAAGCATCTTAATCAGTTTTTTTGGCCATTCCGTTCATGTATTTTATGGTGCTTTTGCAATAAATTTAAGGTCTCCAGTGGACGTCATCCATAAAAATTACTTGGTCTGGCCTTACAATTTAGGGAATGACCTGCCTGAGGCATGCCCAACGTTCCCTCCCCCACAGTATTTATAGAACAGCCCCTACATTGTAAGCAATTGATAACAGATGGGGAGACCAGCTGTCTCGCATCTGAATCAATGCAGAGGTTGGTGGGGGTAAATCATTATATATCTTACACAAAGGATCCACTGCAGTGATATTGGGACCCCCACGAGGCCCGTTTTCGAACTTGACCTTGGCCTCTACAATGGTGGCCTGCCTACCAAAAATCATGAAAAAATCTATTTAAATATACTTCAGTTATTTTGCTCACAAGCCACAAACACAAAAAAACCCCGCTGCAGTGACGTACGGACCCCCCCCCCCACGAAGCTCAAACTTGCACTTGACTTTCCCCTCAACAACGTTAATCTGCCTGACAAAAATCATGGACGTGGAATAATGCCTTCAAGAGTTATTCCGCTAAATCCGCAGTCACCCACAATCTAGCGAGACAATTTCTTAGTCCTTCTGACGAAGACAAATATACATAATACATACACGTACCTTTCAGCCATATACGATCGCCCAAGATCCACCCACCAGCTCGGGTTTGGCGGTGCCGGGTTTGCCGTGTGTGTACAGGTAGCGGGCTGAGCGAAGTAGTCGGTGGCGGTGTTCCCGTCTACCGCCAGGGCGGCAGCCCCGCCCCCGGAGCTGGTTTGGTACGCCGGCCTCCCCAGCGCCACATTGCCATGAACACCTGCTCCAGGCAAGACGACTGTCATCAACATTATCATATGTTCTATACATCGATGACAACCGACATTTCTGGCTTCTTTGCAAAGACAATATCGCGATAAATGGACATTATGTACCGATTTCACACAAGGGGTAGAAATATCTTAAAAAAAATTTTCTTGTGATTATACATGTTTGTATTTTACTTCCACTTACTTCAACTTTACAAAACAGCCCACACAAGGCACACAGGGGATAGGAGTCATCAGACAACAGCCTATCTGGCAGCTGTGTTTCAACTTCAAGCTTCCAAACATATTCGTAAGGCGTCATAGTTTGTCCCCTCCATTTCCTGAATGGCACTTATTTGTAATGGAGTAGGGTTAGTTCAACTTACTTAATGACATGACCAGAAAATTCAGAAATTTTTACATCATCATAATGTTACATAATGCAGCTTTGAATTGCCCTACCTTTCTGAATGGATGATGTCGGTGCAGTCACAGCTTTGGTGCTCACTTCCGCTTCACGTCCGATCAGGTCGGGAGGTTGGGAGGAGATATTTGATGATGCAGTGACAACAGCACGACCAGTGGTGTCCACAGCAGGGTAGCCAGCGGTGTAGGCAGTGTCCACAGCTTGTGTCGGCTGTAGATATGAGAGCATTTACCTATTTAGTACCTCAATAACACAACTTGTGACGAGTGTAAACGTGGAAGAGTGCGTGTGTGTGAGACTGTGTTTAGTGCATATGGTTGTATTCGGTCTGTCCCAGTGGGATAAAGTCACTAATCACGTCTCCATCTGGTAGCGCTCGCTGATTTTATGGGTGAGTTTCGTTACATGACCTCCTTGACAGCTGACAGCTGGTGTTATTTCCCTTGCACGATATGAAGAAAGACTTATAGACAGCATTTGAATTGTTCCTTGAAGTCCCGGAAGTTGAGTTGTTTCTTATTCATGTTTGTGTCAAATGATGTACACATTGTATTTTTCATGGGAATAAAGAATACTAGTAACATTCTTGTCGTCTTGAAGTGATAAAAACATGTTTACAAGAGGCATACATGTTGTGTAACGTTTCAGCTAGAAACGGAATGGAAAACGGATTAGCTGAAAAGTAGTGTTTTTTTTTTTAATTATTGCATTTCACATTACATACATACATACATACATACATTGTACATACACACTTCACATTGCCAAAATATAGAGACATGGAAAAACATAATCCAGGGATCCAGTGAGAAAGAAATATACAACGAAGTTTATTAATAAAAAGTGGTGTTACCTTTTGAACGTTCCCAACGTTGTTGAAGTAATATAAGGAGGCCCCGGTAAAGGCCAATATCGCAAACAAAGTAGCCATTACTACTGCAGCGATAACCCTGGCATAAGTACACTCTGAAAATACAGAGGATAGGAACATCGGGGTGAGGGAAACATAATGTAAAATTTATAACGAGGGAAGATCTAGTATTTGCAAGAGATGACTTTCAACTGATTTTTGAATACAAGAAAATCACCTAACTTTAGATACAAAAAGAAAAGAAAATCAAAGCGGAAAGTGAACTTGAGGAAAACAAATAAAAACTAAGGACCTAGAATTACGTTGATGGTAAATATTATTATTTTAATTAATGATCTGTGTCATCTCCTGAAAAAAATAGATGATAACAGAGTAATAGGGTTTCTTTTCACACATTTCCCCGTATATGTGCCCTTAACGGCACGGCTTACGTTCAGTTCAGTTTATTTCGCACTTTAAAACAAAATGTAACAATACAAATACAAGAAAATATAAATGAAATGTAACAGTGCAGTGAGGCCGGAAGCATAAAATGCTTATGAGGAGGCCTCCTTTCATAACGTGATTAACAATTCAAATCAATCGGATAAATAAGAAATAACTTAGGTAACGGGTAAATAAACAAAACAATAAAATGCAATACGATACAATACTATCTACAATAATGAAAAATAGTAATGAGAGTAGTAAACAAGGAAACATAAACAAAAATTAGGAATATGTGGGGTTATCTATGAAAGCTACGTTAGTATGATTTTTGAAAATGGTGAAGGAGGGACTAATTTGTAAAGTTCTACTTAGGTTGTTCCAAATTGTTGGACCCCTGTACGTGATTGTAAATTGACGTAGATTCGATTTCGCGTTGGATGGCCTTAAATAATTGCATTGGCGTGTGAAGTGGTTGTGGATATCTGAGTTCAGTAAGAAGGTGTAGGTGTCGTGCAAGATTTCAGGTAGGCAAGGACATTTATTTATTATCTTTTACATTAAAAGACTGGTTTGTAGTCTATTTATGTCATTTATGGTCAGTATTTTGAGCTTTTTAAACAACGGTGCCGTAGGAAAAGTAAATGAAATTTTAGACGCTATTCTTATGTATCGTTTCTGAAGCAGAAAGAGCGGTTTAAGTGATGTAGTGTACGTACTTGCCCATACAATACTACAATAACTTAAGTAAGGATAGATAGAGAGTAATAAATGTTTTAGGAGATAAAAGATTTCCTACTTTCCGTATAATACCTAATATCTATGTTCTTGGATATTTTTTTACTAATAAGATCGATGTAATTTTTCCATGTTAATTTTGCATCTATTAAAACTCTAGAAAACGAGTGTGCGTCACTTGAGCAATAAGGTTGTTGTTTATGAATATTTGCACGTTTTCCTTCGGATATTTTCTATTTTTACCTGCAAATATTATTAAATTTGTTTTTTTTAACATTTAAAGACAATTTGTTTTAAACCACCTATTTACTTTATCTAATTCTTCATTCATGGTGGTTACTAAAGTGTCGAGATTCTTATGAGACATGAATAGATTTGTGTCGTCTGCAAAGAGAAGAGTAAATAATTTCTGAAATACTTGTGCTAAATCGTTTATATAGATTAGAAAAAGTAGGGGTCCCAGGATGGATCCTTGCGGAACGCCACATGTTATCGAGTTATGTTGTGATTTGTAAATGCCATTGGTAACATATTGTTTTCTGTTTGAAAGGTAGTCTTTAAGCCAATCATGAACTGTGTTTTGTAAGCCGTATTGATGTAATTTGTCAAGTAATATTTTGTGATCAACGGTATCAAATGCTTTTGAAAGATCAAGAAATATGCCTACGGTGTATTCGTTATTTTCTAGAGCTTCGGTTATTTTGTCGGTTAAATATAAGAGGGGCATGTACGTAGAATATTTTTTGCGAAATCCATATTGATGAGAATAAAGAATATTATTTGTTTCTAAATGGTTTGAAATTCTTTTGTAAACTAATTTTTCTAAAATTTTTGAAAACGTAGGAAGGATTGATATAGGTCTGTAGTTTGTAAATGTGTCTAGATCTCCGGTTTTGTATAGGGGTATTACTTTGGCCATTTTCAATTCTGTTGGTACTGATCCAGTTGACAATGAAAGGTTAAAAATATGAGTAATTGGTTCTAAAATGGAGGAGACATTTTGCTTTTTCAAAGATGCACTTAATTCGTCATGACCTGGAGCTGCATTTTTCAAATTTATGATAATATCGTGAATCTCTGTAGAATTTGGCTCTTCGAAAGAGTTAATGTGTGGATAGGAACATTCAAAATATTGCAAAGGGGAACTATCAGTCTTTTCGATTTTGTTTGCAAGGGATGGCCCAATATTGGTGAAAAAATCGTTGAATCTATTACTCAGTACCAATGTCTTGTGGATCATCTATGCATGACTCTCCACCTCGAAATTTATTAGAAATTACAATACTTGTTTTTTTCTGTTAAGAAGTTCATTGATTATTTTCCAAGTTTTAGATATATCCGAGGATGCGGATTTTAACTTTTCATCGTAATATTTCCTTTTAGACAAACGAATAAGGGAGTTGTACTTGTTTCTCTAAGTTTTGTAACGGTTTAAAGTAGTTGGAGTTGGACTCTTTATGTACGCCTTATAAAGTTTGTTTTTCTAGTTAACGATTTTAACAGACCAGTGGTAAACCATGGTTTGCTGTTCTCCAATTTGTGGTTCTGTTTACATGTCTGTAGAGGAAAACATTTCGTGAAGTGAGAATGAATGATTTTACTGAAATAGGTAAAAGCAGAATTAGCATCGGCACTTTGATACATGTCCTCCCAAGTTCCATCGTTTAATATTCTTTCAAATTTCTTTTTGTTAATACTGTTAAATCTACGTTGAGTACGTTCATTTCAATTGAGTTTATCTCTGGTAAGCGAATTTTTAATATAAAAGATTGGAAAATGATCAGATATATCAGTAAGAAAGAGGCCTGTTACATAAGAATCATTCAGGGATTTTGTCATAATGTTATCAATTATAGTGTTGCTGACTTATTTGTTCCTCGGGTTGGCTTTGAAATGGTTGGATAGGTACAACAGGAAAATAGAGTCTCTTTGGCTATCTATCACTACAGATTTGGTGCACCAATGTGCCAACATTTTCACATTTGTAATTTTTTTTCAGTTTTTTTTAAAATTTAGATGATAACAGTTTACGTCACATATAATATGAAAGTAGATTTGAAGAAAAAAACTCACGGTCTGCTGCGTGTTGCGGCGCGTTCGGCACGTATGTCGGGTTCCAGTTCAGACCGTTTTCTGCGGATCTCGGAGCTGTATTTGAGGAGCGCCCGGCTTCTTCAGGTAGGTTAGCGGAAGGACGTTTAAAATCAGATTTGAAACCTTCTTGGTTAGCGTTATCGTTTACAGGAGCCGCCTGGTCAGCATCGTGTTCAGATGAGTTGTCTTCTGGTCCATTCGTCATATCCTGGCACCCATACGCGACGGCATATGGCTCCTCTTCGGTACTGCCGTCTGCGATGTACATTGGTTCTTCAATCTCAGAGGGACTTTGGGGGACTAAGTATTTTTCGTTATCATCGTTGTCCGTTGTAAGTGTTGATGCTGCATACTGGACACAGGAATTGTGACCCTTGGTGTTTAACGCGTACTCAGAATTGATTTGTTGTATGGCTTTTGAGAGATATGTCTTATTTACGATAGTGTTTTCGGGTACGCACATCGAATTTGGGTTGAGGGTCTTTTGCTGGG